TATAGAAGCAGGATCAGTTTTACCAGTAGGGGGTAACTTTGAAATACTGTTACATTATTATATTCGGCACTATGCAAAACAGTGTCGAGAGTCATCGGTAGCTGACATATCTGGTATCATTGCTGATGCCTTGCTAAGCATTCCGAAGTCCCTATACCGGACAGCAGAAGGAAATAGTTTTAACAAATTCTATCTCAAAGCCATAGATGCGCTCAGGAAAAATGAGCCGCTGCCGATGGATCAGAAAGGCTTAGAATCGGTGTATTGTAAATACCAGTTAGTAATTTCCGTTCTTAATTGTATTACCGAGCTTCTCACTATTGACTTAATAATTGGTGTTAAGCGGCCGCTGCAAAAAATTGAGGATAATGACTCAGAAGATGATTTCTGAAACAATAAAGAACTCTTTTGATTTTGTGTTTTTGTGTGTGTTGTGGTCAAATGGACATGTCCCAGAGAGACTAAATGTAGTCTCCAGAGACCTAATGTGTTTTTTCCCTCTTAAAATTAAAGGAAGAAGGCAGACCAGCTGAGATGTGGGGGAAACACTGTTGTGAGCAGCACAACATGAAGTTTCAGGCATGAGAAAATGTAATTCTGAGTATAGCTGATTCCCAGTGCAGAGTGTGTGCGCTGCCTTCTCCATCATTGTGCAGAACATCCTGTGTATGCATCTGACCAAGAGTGAACTTTGCCTCTTTTTGAGGTTTGAGTATTTATGTAAGTTAGATGCAATTAGTTCTCCTGACGAGTTACTTTTAAGACGGGCACTTGAACTTGCATGTTCTAAGCAAGTTCAAAATTTTTAATATTGGTAGTCTTCATGATAAGCTGAAATGAATGTGATTTTAGATAAAAATGTGGTTTTGTATATATATTTGAATACACTGGGGAGAAAAAATGAAATGTTAGTCTGTTCAGTGTTAAGGCAGCAAGCATTAGGCCACTGCAGCATATCCCAAGGAAGAATTTTCTGCTCTGATATGAAAACCAGCATTTTCATCCTCCATCGAGTTCACTTCAGTCAAACTAGTAATGTTAAGTAGAAATTCATATTATGACTAACTAGCATTCGCTCTGGCAAATTAAGTTATGTGACGTTATTTGTACATTATTTAGTCATTTTTAGCTATTCTGGGTTGCGTTGTGCTGTTATATAAAAGCAGGCTGTGTAATCATGGGAAAAAGTATATAGATAATATGATTTTATGTGAAAAACCTTTTGAGACAGCATTCCGTTTCAGACTCTGTCATGAGGGATTTTACTCTCTTCCCCCGGCCCCTCCCCCCCCAGGATTTTCATCCTAATAAAATTTGCTTTACAGCAGGTATCACCTGGATATCAATACACCCCCTTTTAAGCTGTATCTTAAAAACTTCTGGTTGGATTGGGAGGTTTTTGAGTGAATGAGCAGCTGTAGCTGATAAAGGTATCACATTCATTCTCTGTGTGCAGTTGCGAGTATTGCATAATACAACAACTTTTTTTTTTAATCTGCCATTAAATAAAATTAAAGGAGGACATTTAAAATCATAGGAAAAATCACATTTCTTCCTCTACTGTACCTGAGAGGATGAGAGGATTACAACTGAAAATCAGATTTTCCTTCTGTTAATTTGTGTTGTATTCCAGACAGAATACTGTTCAAATGCTGTCGATGAGTTTTCCCTTCTCTTGACATGTCTGACCCCAGACATGACTGACTGCCATCAGTCCCCCAGCTGACCCCGACTGTAGAGGCTGTTTGTGCTGTGTTGCCCAGTCGGGGACCATACTCAGGTTGGCATGCTCCCCAACCAGCTGCCTTACGAATGTGTTAATGCTTGTCAGATTCCTAAGCCTTGGCTGAAAGTATTCAAGACTTGGTAGATATCCCAAATTTTAAAGCTATCTAATCTAATTTGCCCTTTGGTTGGTGACGTGGAGACAGTTCTCAGAGTGATCTCATGGCATTGTGGCTGGGACAAGCTGGGCTCAGCAAACATGTTTAGTCAGTCAAAACTACAACAAGCAATATATTTGGGCTTGCACTAAGGTTACACCAGCCTAGATTTTTATCTTGCAGTGGTTCCCAGAGATTTTTTCAACTTTGTACTTGAGGATGGATTGATCTCCACGCAAAGTGAAAGTAGGGTGCATCTGAACATGTGTGTGGACTCTGGTCCGTACTTAAAATACGATGCAATGTACAGAGGCACTGGTGGTGATAGTCTTAAATTAGGAGAATGGTTTTAGCAAATCTTTATGTTTAACTCTCCTTTCTGAAGCTCCTAGCAATCCTGTATATTCTACTATATTTTAAATGTATTGGAATATTTAAAAGCAGCAAGACGATCCCATTTGCCAGATGGCAGATTCATTTATACAGGCAGGTAACTGAAAAAAAAAGTTCAGGGAAAAAAAGAAAAAAATTAACTTTAAAATCTATGTGTAATAATATATGATCCATACAGTAAGACTAGCAATTGCAACTGTATCTTGCACCCAGCAGCAGCTCCTGAGAATGAGAATAAGCTATTTACTTGACAAGGACCCTGTCTTTTATTTGTTGGTTTGGGTAGTGGTCAAGTTTCAGTACACTTTTACGGGCGGTGTTTCCTATGTTTTTAGCACGCACAAGCATGTAGCACCCCACTGAGACGGCCTAAATTCCACCAGTGTTCCCACAGCTGTTTTTTCTGTTGACTAGCCCCAGGCAGCTCACTGCTTAGCACCTCCCTTAGGCCCTTCCAGCTGATCTCCAAGGACACCACCTCCCCATTTACCAAGTGGGTAAAACCAACTTTGGTGGAAGTTAGACAACCTAAGTATGGTACGTATTGTCTCATGTTTTCTTTCATGCTCAATTGATTGCTGAGCTTTAAGGGGTTTTGGCACATCCAGCTATAGAGAGTAGTGCTAATAGGAACCAGTTGCAACAAAAGAATATTATTCCGTTGTGTAATAACTCATGCACTATTGTATGACATTTACAAGAGGGAGTAGGGGAAGACAATTTTTTGTTTAGAAGCAAATAATATGTGATGTTTTCTATCCTGGGAGGCGAAGTGGCCAAAAAGCCAGCTATCATTTCTGTGAAGAAAATACAGTCAACAGAAAGGCCCAGGCCAATAAAGTCAATCAGGCCCTTCATTCCCAATAATTTCAATAGCACATAGGTGCCATAATGCTATTGCCGATTTGGGTCCAAATGAAAATTCTCCTTTAGAAATAGGTGGGAGGTTTAATACTAATGGTGAAATTAGCAAATTCAGCTGCGTTCCCTTTTAAATGCGTTTATGTCTAGATAGCTGGAAAGGCGTATTTTTTGTTGCATTTAACCCAAAAGCTGTCAGAGGTTATCTTAAGGCAGGACTAAACGTGAATATGCCTTTTGTTGTATAGCAGCATAGTTACGGTAATTTTACATTGTTTCTGTTACCATCTTTGTAAGAGTCTTCCACAGACCGCAGGTGAGTGATTAATCATACCACCTGAGAAGATTAAGGAAGATTAAATTCTTAACTTACTTATATCTCCTTGACTTTTCTGGAGTTGTATTCACCTGAGCCTGTACTGAATTTCTGTTATGCAGCAAGTAAGTTTGCTATTACAGATAGAGACTTCCATTTTTGGTTACTAATTTTATTTCTATGCACATTTTGGTTAATTAGTCCCCTTGTGTCTTTTTTGGCAAGGTTCTTTTAAAGCTCTTGTAAAGAGAAAATCTATTTCAGTATTAAACTAAAGGGATTTTTGCAGTTGAATTCTCTTGAAATCTAAGAAATATGTTAACATTTTTGTCCTGGTTAAGAACAAAGATTGAATATGAGCTTTATTTACTATGCTATTTATCACGTTATTACTAATAAGACTGAAAAAAAAATGAATACTGTTTGAATTTATAAACTAGCCCTGGAAATGTGTTGGCTGTAATTAACGTTATAATTTTGGAGTAGCATTTTGTGTAAGGCATCATTTGTATTTTTCTAAATTAAACTAGAAATAGATATTTGGATCTAGGACTACAGAAATTACGTCCTTGTGAGACTATTAAACCAATAATTACATTCAGGAATAAGAATTTTAATTTTAACATGGTAAAACTAAAAGTAATGGCAGCAAAAATGAAAGAGAATTAATATACCGTATCTCCTTATTTATGATATAATTCAGTAAAAGACTCGACTCAGGAAGTAATGCTTATGCCTGTGACAGATGGGAAGAGAAGAGCTGAGCAATGCACTCTTTGTTTTAAAACACTCTTGGCAAAAAGAATACAAAATAGTTTTGCTGTAGAAAATGCTAAAAATTCAGCAGACAGTTTATTTCTCGTGAAATCACCAGTAGATGAAAGAACTGCTACACTGAAGCTGTTATTCAGTGCAGGATTAAGGGCACACCCGCAATATTGCTTCCTGCGTAGCTGCATCCTAAACCACCTACATCAGAGCTCACTAAACAAATACAAATTTCCGTTTAAGGTGTTTAAAGAATGTATTGTTTTACAGAAAAGAAGCTGTAACCTGTTCTTGTTCTGCAAGTTCCAATGAAACAATCCAGCATGGTGATCTTTCTTTTCATAATAATCATGACCCACTTTCAGTGGGTGTCTTCATTTTCCAGACTAAGCATCTGATTAAATATTACCTTAAAATGTAAATGCACAGAGCGAACATGTGGCAGGGATTTCTCTGTGTATGCGGAAAAAGGCAGCGCCAGATGAGAGTTACATCCATTGAGATTTTAACATTGGACTTGATACGTGTCTGCTATCACGTAGGAGGATTATATTTATTCTTTAGGAGCAATGAAAGTCATTGTACAAGCGGGTGAATTATATTCACGAGGAAAATAAGCTGCATAGTGTCCATTTCCTAAAGCCAGGAGTACTCTGAGGCTCCTGAACACCAATGCAGTATCAAAAGCAGTGCAGGATAACTTTACAGTGCTGCAAAAATTGTAACTATTGTCAGCGTTGACTGTATTAGAGGTGTCTATTGGGAAGTGTGGGATTGTGCATTGGCTTTTTTAATCAAGTGGGCAGCTGTGGCAAGAGAACCTCGAGGGCCTGTTCCCCCAGCTGCAAGACTGATTCTATGATTTGTCTTGGCGCTAGTGATAGCTCTGCGCTAAAGGTATGTTAGTAGTGATTTGTTGCCTCACTTTAGAACATTTTGAGTATACATACCTTCAAGCAATCTGTTGTTTCGGTGTGACTTGTGTTTTTTTTTAATTGATAGAACAAAGTAAAGGACTGCTTATTTAATTCCTTGATTGATTAATTTGTATGTGTGAAACCTTTTTTGGTAACTGGACACTTATGAACAGTTTAGGATTTTGGTACATTAAGGAAAATTCTTAGTACTAAGTCCCGAGTACTTTCCAGTATGAAAGTCAGTTTTTAACATTTGTGATTCAGCCTGAATGCTTTCTT